GGGAGACCCTGTTTCAAAAAAACCAAAAAAAAAAAAAAAAAAAAAAAAGTTAAGTACTTCCCTTCTCTTTGAATAAATGAATGAATGAAGAAAAAATCTTCTACAGACAAGGGGTAGTTATATGTAGTGGAGGTTTTGTTTGTTTATATTCTGTTTTAAGTTAAGACAAAGACATTTACAGATCAAAGATGCAGTAAGTGTTCCATGGATGCAAGATGTAACAGCTTATAAAATTTGGCCACGAATTCCTTCCATTCTTCAAGAAGTGGAGTCTGTGCTCCTGCCTCTCCAGTCTGAGCTGTCCATGTGGCTCTCTTTGGCCCAGAGAATGTGGTAGGATTAGTGTTTGGGTGAGCTCAAGAGGCCCTGGGGCTCCATTATCTGACTATCCTGAAAGGAAGTGAGCTCCCACTTCCTAGAGGATCAGAGTTCAAGCAGAGGAGACACCTGGCAGTTCAGCTGCCAGACCCATTAGTAAAGAAATGTTGGACATTTCAGCACAGCCAACTCTCAAGTTGACTCGGGTGGCATGAATGAGCATGAAGGAACAACCGGGAGGTCCTGGAAGCTTTGAGAGGTGGGACATGGGGGCGACCTTTAGGTCATGAGGGACTAGAGGATTATAGGCTTTCAGATGGCTCCTCTCTCCTTTGTGCTCTTTGGCCATGGAGTGAATACTTTTTTGCTCCATGTGTTCCAGATGCTCCACCATAACTGCTGCCTCGCCACAGGCCCCAGACCAAAGGGGAAACTAATCATGGAACAGAAGCTCCCAGACTGTGAGCCAAAGGAACTTTCTGTCTTTACAAACTGGCTGTCTCAGGTTTTTTGTTTTTTGTTTTTTGTTTTTTTTAAAGTGACAGAAAGGGGACTAACACAATGTCCAGCTGGGGATACAGCTGGAAAACATTCTTTGCCCTCTGTCCTGCAGATGGCTTCCAGGTGGCCTGGTCAAATTTAGTGGGTGTGCTGGAAGCCAACTCTCTGTTACCAGATGCTGCTGCCTGTGTCAAGACAGACAAAAGATAGCACCTTTTCTCACTACAGTGTTCAGATACACCATGTGTGTGTTTTCCAGGACTACTGGAACAAATTACCACAGACTGGCTGGCATAAACAATAGAAGTTTATTCTTTCATGCTTCTGGAGACTAGAAGTCCAAAGTCAAGGTGTCGTCAAAGCCAGGCTCCCTCTGAAGGCTCTAGGGAAGAATCTTTCCTTACTCTTGACTTTCTGGAAGTCCTGGGCAATTCTTGGCTTATGGCTGTTTCACCCCACTCTGCATCCATCCCCTCTGACTGTTTTTCTACATGTCTCTATTTTCCCTTTCTCTAAGGATATCAGTCATTGGATTAGGGCTTACTCTAATCCTATATGAGTTCAATTTTAATTATCCCTAGAAAGACACTATTTCCTAATGAGGTCATATTTCAAGGTTCTAGGTTAGGGGGATACTATTTAACCCTGTATAGTCCATGAGTACATGGTTTATAGTGTTTAAGAGAAAATTTTCCTGCAACCTTCAGGCCTGCCCCAGCCCAACCAATGCCAGAGTTGAGTTGTTGGATGTGTCAGAGGGGCTACTTTCCTCTGCTCTGACCAGCTGCTGGTTAGACTTGGTCACTCACACCTCAGTGTAACATGTGCTCTCTCAGCACAGCAGGATGTGACCATGGCCTTCAAAAAAGCCTCCTTGTGGCAAAGAGGAATCTATATTTCTAGGTGTTGGTTCTTGGACAGATTTTTATCTTTAAATTATATTCATAGAATACCACACAGTTCCCCATTAGTGCACACACTGGTGCTGCTTGCTTTCAGTATGAGGCAGAAAGCATACCTTACAGTTTTCTTCCACTCCTTCCAACTCCCATGTCTTTTGAGTGAAAAACAGTTCTCTTCCAATCCATAGAAGGTACTGATGAATTGCGTACTTCATGGGCTATCCATCTTTCCTCCTTGCCATGCATGCTTGGCTTATGGCCATGTAAGCACTGATGCATCCCTTTCAATAAGAGTGTTTGAGGGAGGACAGGAAAGGAGTACCACTCGGTATGGAAAACAGGGAAAAATCAAATATCAATAAATACATCAGCAGTGTTGGGGCTCTTTTATGGTTGAATCTGAAAAGTGCCCCCTCCCTTGCCAGGCTCATGTGTTTCAACATGTGGCAGCATGGGCTGGTGGAAGTAAGTCACTGGGAGCTGGCCTTTGAAGGTCTTAGGCCAGCCCTGCTTCTAGTCCTGTTCTTTGCTTCATGGTCCAGTCCTGTTTCTGGTCCTATACTTTGCTTCCTGGTCCATAAAGATGAGAGAGGTGGCAGCCACAAACTCCCATGGCCTCAGACCATGCTGCTCCATCATGCCTTCCCCTTCATGATGAACTGTATCTTCTGAAACCAGGAGCCAATGTAAATCCTTCCTCCCTTAAGTTGTTTCTGTCAGGTATTTTGTCACAGTCATGAGAAAAGTAACTAATACAGTCTCAAAGCAGAACTGGAGATTGGATTTGTTAAATCCCCCAAAGCCCCCAAGAAACAGAGAAACAGGAGTTTTCAAAGATCTCAGAGCTCACATTTAATGACCTAAGGTCCAAACTCAGGTAAATAAAGAAAAGCACTTTTCTTTGGGCTGCAAGCCAATTCTGTGGTTTATAGTGCATTAATAATGGAAAGCTAATTTGAGGTTAATAGTAGCACAACTACTTGTAATATTTGACAAAACACCGTCATTTTCCCAAGCAGCATCTAATATACTGGTATATAAATCAATTTATTTTGCAGATGAATGTTTGGGAGGCAAAAGCATTCTTCATCTTCAGCCAGGTACTGGAATTACTGGGGTTCAGATTATTGGTCAAGATGAAATCCCCAAATTAGTGGAATTAAAAGTTTTCAAATTTCTGGGCATGGTGATGCATGCCTTTAATCCCAACACTTGGGAGGCAGAGTAAGATCTCTATGAGACTGAAGCCAGCCTGATCTACATAGTGAGTTCCAGGACAGCTAGGGCTACAGGGAGATCCTGTCTCAAAAAGACCTCCCCCCAAAAAGTTCTGCAGTTAGTGCCAGTGGGCCACCCCTGTTCAAAACAACTGGTATAAATATCAGAACATTTTGATCATTCATAACTGACACATTTACTACTAAGCAGAAAAGTGTGACGGCCACACCTACAATTCCAGCAATCAGAAGGTGGAAGCACGAAGATCAGAAGTTCAAGGTGATTCTCAACTATAAAAAGGAGTTTAAGGCCAGTCTGTCTCAAAAAAGAAAAAAAGTCTAGTGTGGGAAACAGATAAAAGTGTGTAGATCCTCAAGTCTGATCCCTTATCTGTGCTTCTTAAATGAAGTTTTATTGCAACAATGTTATGATCCTTTTGCTTTTTAAGATGTATTGTCTATGGATTCTCTTGCACTAGTGGCAGAGTTAAATTATTGTAGCCTATTTTTGCATCTAATATGCAAAGCATGAAATATTTATTCTCTGGCCCTTTATAGAAAGAGTTAGCCAACACTGATCTAGATAAACAAACCACAAAGATATATCTTTTTTTGTTTTGGGTTTTTTTTTGGGGGGGTTGTTTTGTTTTGTTTTTTGGTCTTTTTGAGACAGGGTCTCCCTGTAGCCCCAGTTGGCCTGGAACTCACTATGTAGATCAGGATGGCCTCTGTCTCTGGAGTGACAGAGGGGGCGTGAGCCCCCATGCCCAACCTAAAGATATGTATTTTAACAAACGTTTATGTTGTAGAAATTATATCAGACCTTAGGGATGCATTTGTGTGAAACAAAGTGAGTTACTGGCCCCTCTGAGGCCCATGGTCTATTAAACAACCCACCTATCCTGATGGTGCAGTGAACAAGCTTCCAAAGGGAGGTCTTCAACCAGAGTAGATCACATTTTGAGAGAGAGAAAGAGAGAGAGAGAGAGAGAGAGAGAGAGAGAGAGAGAGAGACTCAAGTAGCTAGGCTGACCTCAAATTCCCTATATAGATAGTTAAGTCTGCCTTAAATTCCTGATCCTCCTGCCTCTGTTTCCTAAAATAAAGCCTAAAGGTTGATTTCTACTTTAATCCCATCACTCACTTGCTGTGAGTTCAATCACTTCGCCTTCCTTAAACCAACATGGAAAGTTAGATAACAGTGCTGAAACCCTTTTTTAACTTTCCAGAGAGAACAAGATTAGACAAAAAGCTCATCTAATGAAGAAAAATACTGAGAATTCTAGATAAAAGTTTAACTTTGCCAATGGAAAACTAGAGGCTAAATAGTTACTAAGTTCAACAAATACAGTCATCCTTCAATATCCTAGGGAGATCTTAGTCCCAGGACATGCTTACTTGAGGATGTGCACGTCTCTTGCATAACATGACACAGTATTTGTATATAACCTATGCTTATCTATTTTAATATCTTATTTATTATTTTTATTTTATGTGTATGAGTGTATTGACTGCATGTATGTGAGTGCACTCATATTGTGCAATGCCGCAGAGGTCAGAAGAGGGCTTCAGATTCCCCTGGAACTGGAGTTAAGGACAGTTTGTAGCTGCCATGTAGGTGCTGGGAATCAAACCCAGGTCCTCTGCAAGAGCAGTCAGTGTTCTTAACTGCTAAGCCATCTCTCCAGCCCCACATATCTTTTAAATATATCATCTCTATATTACCTCAAACATCTAAAACAGTGTACATTATGAGTAAATGACTGCTGGAATATATTGTCTGGGGAATGAAGACAAACATGTCTGTGCGTGTCTTATTATCATAAAAATGAAAATCCTTTATGAATATTTTCAATCCATGGTTAACTGATTCGAAGATAATCTTTTCATACAGAGGGAACACTGTAGTCACTGCTGGATGCTTTAGCTGTTGCCTCCCAGTTGCATCTAAGATCAGGACATCTGAAGCAAACATGAACATCTTTTGATCTTGTTTCATAGTAACCAGCACAGCACAGAAGACAGAATGTAAGTGAACAGTCCACAGAGCAAAGCCACTTACCATGGGAGATACAGCAAATGAATATATTGGTGCTCAAAGAACTCATAACTGGAAGCAAGGCCATCCTTGTCTATGGCTTGACCATTCTTATACCAAGTCACATCTGGCTTGGGCTGACCTGATGATTAAAAGAAGAATATTTAAGTATTTTTAGAAAAACGTCGCAAAGCTAAGAATGAGAATGGGCAAGAAGCCATGAGGATGAGCACAATGGGTTATGTCAGCGAAATGCAAAATGGAAAATGCCAGTCACAATAAACTATCTTCAAATGACCCAAAATGAAATCATTCTTTAAAAATATGATCAACAATTAGTGAGATGGCTCAGTGGATAAAGGCACTTGCTGCCAAAGTCTGATGAGGTGAGTTCAATTCCAGGACCATATGTTGGAAGGAGAGAACTGACTCCCATGTCCTCTGTCCTTTAAACATAAGTTGTGACAATGCATGTGCCTCCTATACATAAAATAAATAAAAAAATTAAAAATATAATCAGTAGAGAAGAGCAAATTTTTTGAAGTACCAAATAGGCAAAGATATGGATAGCATCTTATTTTCAGTGTCATGGGATCAAAGACTCATCCAAGAGCCTTGACTTTGGGGAATGTACTTTGTTTCACTCAGTTGTTAAGACTCATTATAATTCTTAGATTCAGAGAATTTATATGTCATCTTGTAGGTTTTATTCAACAGAGATGTAAATATCTAATAGAAAAGATAACAACATCAGTTTTTTGCTGCCCTGCAGGACATTAAAAGTGTTACAAACGAACCCATCAACTTTCTCCTAATATTGTTAAATGCCTATAAATATGTAGCTCCTCAAGCTTTAATATTCTCTAGTTCTTCCATTCATAATGAGTTGAATATTAATTTCATATTTTCATAGAAATCACTTTACTTTTTGAAAATTACACTTTGTGTGTATGGTGCTGGGGACTGCACATGCTAGGTATATCTTAGCTATACCTAAAGCCCATTGACTGTAACAGTGCTCAAAGTTGAGCCTGTATTATAGCACAAAGAATAAGGAGCAGAGTGGATTAAAGGACCAAAAATATATCTATGGGGAATGACAAGATGGCATTTGGCACTGAGCCTGATGACCTGTTTCTATCCCCAAAATCTACATGGTGGAAGGAGAGATACAACTCCCACAAGTTGTCCTCTGATCTCATATGTGAGCTGTGGCATGCAAATACATGTGTGACACACACTCAAAATCAAATGTAATTTAAAATTTTTGTTGTTTTATTGTTGTTGTTTTGTTTTATTTTTGAGACAGTGTCTCACTATATAACCCCAATTGGCCTGAAACTTTCTATGTAGATCAGGCTGGTCTTGAATCCACAGAGATCTGCATGCACCACCACACATAAAAACATTTTTGTGTTCATGACTATACTACCCTGAACATATCCCATCACATCTGATCTCAGAAGCTAAGTAGTGTGGCACCTGATTAGATCTTGGGTGGGACAAGAACAAAAACAGCATTTTCTTTCTAAAGAGGAAAGAGTCTGAAGCACAGATTTTCCAAGCTGGTCCTATGGATGTGACTGCTGTCACAGAAATTGAACCATACCCTTTCCCTCAGAAAGGCTCACCCCTCCCTGGTGATTATTAACTGGGTATGATGCTAATGGGCCAATGGGCAAAAGCTTGAGGAAGCTAAGCCATGCTTTGGGAATATTTCCCCTCCTGTTACTAGGGAAGAAAGTTTCTAGTGTATATCAAAGACCTTTTTCACTTCACTTCATGTCTCTGAGGTTATCAAATGTGCTGTCTATACAGGAAGGAAAGTCCATTATTTGGAAACAACACACTACTCTGAATCCATAACAAGAATGTTCTTGTTCTTTTGCTTCTTTATTGTATAATTTTTGGCAAGCAACCTCAGAGAGTCCTAAAATAAGAAGTCCCTATTCTTCTAAGGTCATATAAAGGGTCAAGAACTGAAAGAGGTCAGGAAGGTAAGGAGGAAATGTCAGAGAGGCCTGTACACAGAAGGACCTGAGAATGCTCAGCGCCAGTCTCCTTATATATGTGCTAAGGGCCCGCGTGGACTTTTTGGGTAACTGTGGGTTCTTTCTGCCTCCTCCTCCTCCAGGTTGATGTCTGAGAATCTTTCCCAGAGGCCAGGTGCAGAGAAACCACAAACAAGGACATATTCTACCCCAGCAGCTGCTTGCCTCAACTTCCTACAGGCAGATGACTAATCCATTCAAGATGAGCTTCCCTGAAAACCACTAGACGTTGCTGGTCAGAATTCATTTCTGCTGTTCTTCTCAGTCTTCTGTACCCCATTCAGTAGCTTAATTAGGTCCCTGTTTAGGAAGCATCAAACTGATCCTTTTATATGTGTGTATAACTTTCCTGGAGAAAGTATATAAAGTATATATAAACTGGGCTGGGAACATTTTGACCTCCAGTTACTCATTTGGAATGATCAGGGATGGTTGCTCTCCTCTAGTTTCCCAATGGTTGCCAGGGTTTACCCCTGTGTACACTATAGACCTGAACCATCAGCCAGAAATAAGACATGCATAGGGAAGTGGTGTCTTGTATCTTGTGGAGGGTTCTCTTTTCTCTTTCTGGAAACCTCACTTAAAACTTCTCCTCTCTCTATTTTGCAATGCTAGGGATAGAACTCAGGTCTTGTTCATGCTAGGCAAGCACTCTACCATTGAGCCATACTCACCCCCACCAGCCTTCTTCCCCTTGTTTTTGAACCTCTCTGTGAATCACAGAGAGATACTGCCTGAAAGGTTCAGAATGATCTATCTAATATGTGTGAGGACCCACAGCCAAGTTTAGGTCTGTCTAAACATATGGTGACTCTCTTGGAAAACGGAAAGTTAGCCTGGGTTTATCCTTCTGTCCGAATGATCATCAAAGAGTACTGAGCAAGGCAGGTGTGGACTTGGAGAGGCAAGAGTGGATGGACAACCCAGCCTCGAAACCCAAGGCAAGGTTTTGACTTCTGCTAGCGAAAGACAGCCATTTCTAGGACTGCCACTCTTCCTCCTTTAGTTAGGAAGAAAGGAAGAGGAGATATTCAATTTCTGTCTGTGCTAAGGAAACCCCACTGATGCCTTCATGCTTTCAAGCATAGAGATATAATCTAAGAAAGAAGAACACTTATAGATAAGGTACCACTTCCCTATCCAATTACTGTTTTTTATTTTTTTTCTTTGTGTGTGTTGTGTGTGTGTGTGTGTTTGTGTGTGTGTGTGCACCTGTATGTGCCATGGTGAGTTTGTAGAAGTCAGAGGACTACTTTCAGAAGTTAGTGCTCTCCTTCCACTGCAGGATCTGGGGATCAAACTCAGATTGTCAAATTTATGCTGAAAATGCCTTTATCCTCCAAGCCATCTTTCTGACACCTTACTTTCTTTTAATGGAACCGTTTTGCTACTGGGGCACTAATACCTGATCAACTCTGAGTTGTCTATTCTCCAATCCAGGGGGAGTTTCAGTCTTTGGTCTTGCCTCCACTGGGCATCTTTTGCTTTGTTCTTAAAGGACAGTAAGCAAGGAAACAAATTTAGCCAATCTGGGCACAGTGGTTAAAAGATAGCCAGAGCTCAACCAGTTTTATGAAGTGAAGTTATTCGTGCCATTTCTGGGTGGCACAGCAAGTACTGAGTAGATTATCTGAAAATCAACCAGTGTGAGAGTTGTCTAACCAAGAGCCATGAGTGAGAAAGATCACTCAACAGTTTCCAGGAAGTCACTTGAAAAAACCATAGAGGATCTAGTTGCTCAATTGATTACTAAGAATAAACTTCCAGGGTAATTTTTCCCAAATGATGTTTTCATTATTTTATTGTGAGCCAAGAACCTTGCTCTACAAGGAAGCACTGGAGGGCAAATAGTAAGTTTAGGGTAAGCAGCTAGTCTAGAGATCATTACCAGCTATCATGCAGCGAAGCACAGCATCAGACTTCTCTGGAACCTTCTGGGAAAGTAACGTTGATAAAAAACACAGTGTGTGCCTCTGTGGGCCACCTGGGTCTGTCATCCTTCATGCCACGTGATCTGAAACATAAACATAGCTGCCATCACCATGTCTTCTGGATTGGTCTGGTCTCTTTTGGAATTCCAGAAGCCAATCACCTGCACTTGAACCAGTAGGCAGGTGGAAGGTTCTCAGCAGCCTTCCTGGAAGAGTGTATCAAGGGGATGCTCTGTACATCACAGACAGTTTACAGCATCCACCCCCTGGATGCCAGTAGCACTCTATCTTTCCATGGGAATGCCAGGTGTCCCTTGGGATGGAGTTGAGATAGCCCTACTTGAGAGTCACAAATCCCATAGTCCTGGGAATGTTCCAGAGCTGCCAGAGCTCAAGCTGAGAGGGAATAAACTCATAAGTCTGGGGTTCCAGCTCTCTTCTTGCTATTCTCTTTTCTCAAAAAAAAAAAAAAAAAAGAGTGGGTATGCAGGCAGATGTAGTTCAGTTGGTAGAGTGCTTCCTAACATGCACAAAGCTCTGGGTTCCATTCCCAATACCATAAAAAAATGGGTGCAATGGTTCAGGCTGGAAATCCCAGCACTCTGGAGGTGAAGACAGGGAGGATCAGGAGTTCAAGATCATAACATGCACAGCAGGCCTAAGGCCAGCCTAGGCTATCTTGTCTTTTTAAAAAATGAGTTTGTATATTTTCCTCCCCAAATAGGAGTTCACTACATCCAATGAATATTTAGGTGTGAGAGATGTTGAAATCGGGAAACTACTGATCCTTTTGAGTACCAGATACTTGCCCCAGGGCAGAGATGGGTTTGCATTTTTGAGCAAGCATGCCTGCATTGATAGAAACAGACACCAAGCACTTGATTAGTCACCAGACAGTGTCATTCCACTTAAAGTGTCTTTTTAAAAAGTTTTATTATTTTTATTTTATGTTTATGAGTGTATTGCCTGTATGTAAGTGCACCTGTGTTATGCAATGCCCACAGAAGTCAGAAGAGGATATCAGATCCCCTGAAACTGGAGTTATGGACAGTTTTTAGCCGCCATGTAGGTGTTGGGAATCAAACTCGAGTCCTCTGTGAGAGCAGCCAGTGCTGTTAACCGCTGAGTCCCTTTAAGGGTCTACAGTCCCTTAACGTGTCTTAAATTACCTGAAGGGTGTTGCCAATACCTCCTCCATTTTATGCATGAGGAATATGAGGTTCAGAGAGGTTCATTACCTTGCTGATGATGTCACAGCAAGTAGTTGCTATCTTTGAGGCTGCCTGACTTCAGGGTTGTGCAGGCTGATACTGCAGCTCCACGAATCACAGCTTGCACAGATAGGAGGGGCAGCCCTGAGAATGCAGGTGGGTCCAAATCCGGAGTTGTCTTTTCCACTCTACCTACAGACATGTGTCAGCACCTCTCACCCAAAGCTTCTTTAATGGCGCCTTGAGTTTAGAAATCACAACTAACTCTATTCAAACACTCATAGGATCCCACTTCCCCTTTTAATGCTCAAACACCACTGAGCTCAGAAAAAAGGGCAAGAACCACACTGGTGTGGTGAGCAAGAACAGAAGAGGCCATTTGAAATAGCTCATGATGGGAGAGGCTGATCTAAAGGGCACACCAGTTCCTGCAGAAGGATTTCCATTCCATGTGGCCTTGGTGACAGTCTCTTCACTGTTCACACCCAGTTCCCCCTCCTTTCTTTTAGTTTTCCAGGCTGTCTGATACCCAGAGAGATGGTTGCTAGAGAAGATTGCCTAGCGTTAGTCAAAGGTCTTGCCAACATCTCTATAGTCTTCGATGAGCAGGAGTAAGAAGGGAGAACAAGCCCAGAGGAAGGGGACAATGTCTGGGGACCTTTGCTTCATTCATTTGCAGGAGAGGGTCTCCCTGTTCAAGTAGGACTAGAGCTTTAGAGTGGTGATAGCAGAATATCAAACTAAAGCAAGGCCTTTTAAATTTCTGCATGAAGACCCAGACCTGGGCCTCTGGGTGGCCCTGCCTAGTAGACATCATCACTGTTGGAACATTCTGGTCCTAAGTGCATTCCACTACTCACAAATGCCTACCAGTGTCCTAAGGCCTTCCCAACTGTTTTTGAGGTTTGTAATGTTGCCTTCATTTCAAGATGTTCTGTTTAGAATATGGGGAGTCCATGGCATCAGAAAGCATTCCCAAACTGCCTCCGCATGGAACACCCACACTTTTTGAACATCTGGGTGAAGACCTTGATTTAGGAGAATGTTCTGCCTGCCTTCCTATCCTCCATGTGCTGCATGGAGGTTCCAATGATTCATGTAGTGGATAGAAAATGCTGCAAAGTTGAAGAAGTTCCAGGTTAGCATCAAAAAGCATGAAAAGTATGACCATCAGGGCCACTGAGACCCGTCAAGAGAGGTGGAAGAGTTTTTAAGACACATTGCTTTCAAGGGTTGGAGAGATGGCTCAGTGGTCAAGAGCACTGCCTGCCCTTGCAGAGGACCTGGGTTAGATTCCCAGTACCCACACGGTGGCTAACAACCAGTATGGCTAATAAATACAGTTCCAGGGAATCCATAGCCCTCTTCTGACCTCCTTGAGCATCGTGTGACATGGGCACACTTAAATACATGAAGGCAATACAATCATCTACATAAAATAAAAAATTTTTAAATTAAAAAGACATGTTGCTTTCTGATTGTGACCCCGGATCCTTCTGAGATTTGGTAAGGAAAACTTAATTGCATTTTGATAAATATACCTATGGGAAGCCTGAACCATACTGGGTCCCTGAGTAACCCATTATATTGAACTCTTATATTTAAGAGTCAGGTAAGCCTATCGCACTATGGATATACAAATTAGGTGCACAGAACAGGAAAAGAATTCCTCTAAAATGTGGTAAATAGGTAACTCCATTCCTGACCAGTATATACATTTCATGGCTGAGGAATTGACACTTATTGCCATACAGTCCAGATTTCAGTCATATTCTTACAGTCTTCCCTCAATATCCTCAGATACCAAGGTCTAAGGCTGCTTAAGTCCTTTATGTAAAATAACACAGTATTTGCATTTAACCTATGCATATTATCATATATTTGAAACCACCTCTAGAGTACGTATAACATTCAGTACAATACAGATGCTATATAAATAGTAGTTAGAAAGCCTTGTTTAGGGATAACAGAAAAGAAGTCCATTTGTTCAGCACATAAGTAATTTATTACCAAACACTGATCTAAAGGTGGTTCAGTCCACAGATGTAAAACTAATGATATTTCATCTGGGAAGTGGGTATATACATGAATAAGGTTGTTTGGGATGTTCTGTGTGATATACACACAAAAAAATCAATAAATTTTAAAAAATGAGTTATATTTGAGGAGGAAGCATAAAAATTTATGTCATGTTAATTAGTAGTCATCTACCTGATGACTTTATATCCATACACAGGTGCCAAGGATCTGAGTGCAACCGACTATGACTAGTAATAATCAGATAGATACAGATTAGAGACGCATGTGCCAACATCTAAGTGTTATTAGCAAAAACAATGAGTCTTTCTGTAAAAACAATATATTTTAAAATGAAATGGAGCTCTTTTTTAAAAGTTAAAAACTCATTCAATTTTATGTCTTACAGGGTTTATACTGAGTTCTATATTGTATAACTGTATTAATTCAACTGTGAACCTAAAAATTTTATAGTCTCTTTTGAAAGAGATGTATCTTTGCTCTGGAAATTGTTATTGAGTATGTTAGAGCTATAATGAAATGCTTCTAAAAATTTTAAAAATTTTCAAAAAAACTAATGATATTTCTTATAAGTCATAGTAAGGTATAATGGAAAATTTATCCCAACTCCATAGAAAGAAATGGCTTTAAAGTTTTTGGTTTTTTTGAATTTTGACAACTTATAATCCCCATCTTTTCTGAAAATGAAAATGTTTACAGAAAACTTAGGGAAGGCTGAAGTAAACCTCAATGGTACAGCACTTGCCTATACTGTGAGAGACACTGGGAAATAATGAATATTCCAGAATGAGTACAGGACCACTAACAGTGAGGGGGAGCACACTGCCCTCACACTACTAAGTAAAGGTGACTCACCCTTCAAAACAGGTAGAAGGAACAGCTTTCCACCCACAGCAGTGCACTTGGTTGTTTCTCATTAGAGGTTCAGGCTGGTAATGGAAGCCAGAGCTATAGGTTTAGTTTGAGACAATATTTTTTAATTTAAAAGTGGATTTAAGATTTTAAAGTTTATGTTACCCAGTATTAGTGAGAAAATAATTTCAGGGCTAAATGCAAGCACATGGCATAAAGAACAAAACCTAAGTCACTTCTATTTTCTCATTGCATATTTCATTTCATAGTGCTAAAGATCAAATCAAGCCCAGGGCTTTGTACATATTAGGCAAATACTTTACCACTGAGCTCCACCTCCAGATCCCAATTTTAATTTTTATGGTATTTTACAACTAGTGTAGCAGATTACAAGCACATGTTCATTTGCTGTCTCTGACACAGCACAAGGAAGGAGCAAGGATTGGCAAACATGAAAGTGTGACTTCAAGTTGGAAATGCCAGCTCCTATGGCTTACTGACCCAAGGCGATGTGTGAACACATCTGTAATGAGACAATTCATGCACCACACACTTCATCCATTTAAAATTTACAATTCAGTGGGTTTCATTATAATTGGCTTGTGGAACCATCATCACAACCAATTTCAGAATGTCCTCCTTACCCCAAAAAGAAGCCCCTTATCTCCCCATTTCACCCTTTTCACACCCAGTCCCAATCCACAAAGCCGTAGGTAATCACTAGCCTACTTTCTGCCTGTGTGGATTTGCCTCTTCTGGATACTTCATAAAACCAGAATCTCTCACTTAGCATAATGTCAAGTTCACCCATGTTCTAAGGTATGTACTGATGAATGAGTTATCTTTTTAGGTTAGTCTGCAATACTTCTTGGGAGCCACTGTGGAGAAGAAAGATGACTATCCTGACTGTCCACATTCCTACAGGCTTACTCAACAATATAGGGGAACCTCGTGGCTAGAAAATGC